GTCTAAATTTGAACTGGCTTTTTATTTATCTAATTTTTTTTTTTTTTTTTTTTTGCAGAGATTTAAATCAATCACTGGAAAAGCTAAAACTAAGTTTCAAGAAAAAGTTCACATGTTATGGACAACAAGTGAACAAGACGGATGATGAATTAACAAGCAGTGAAAATACTTACGTCGAGGACAGCTTTTGCGTGAAAGATAGTCTCTCAGAAGGTTTGGATTAAACTTCAGTAAATCGATTGTGATGACTTCGACTGTAATTGTTAGTTCTGATGTTGTATGGAGACATCCATACAACTGTGATAGTTATTAAACTATTATAGTTATTTTTTCACTGAGTTGCTTATCTTCAGCTTATAACTGCAGTCTTTACTGCCCACTTATATTAGAAGTATTAATTATTATATATAAAATACAAAAAATGTTAAAAAATTAAAAACGCAGTGAAATAACTAATTAAAAATATACAAAAATATATAATAAATTAAAAATATTAGAAAATACAATTAAGTTAAAAAAGTCAGAATCTCTCTGTATTTATATTCTGTGGTAGGCGGAAACTGTCGTAAGTGTTCCGAGGGTTTCACAGTTTTGTGTCTGAGATATGCACCACCATTTCTATTCACAAGTGAATCAGGCAACTGTCTTTGAGGAGCTAACTAAATTCTAATTACAGTCACTTCATCGAGTGCATGGAGCGAAGAGAAATCGCCGTCAGAAAATCCTGAAAACATACCGAGTCCCAAAGAATCTGAAAAAGCATCAGCAGTAAGTCGCTTTTTATTTTTCGAGAGAAAAAAGGTACTATTGTTAAATTCTAGCCCATTCCTTTCGTTCCTATCGGTCATTGTGAAGAGCCATGCTAGAACAACGCTTCGTGGTAAGATGATAGATCAAAGGAAGTTATGACAGACTTATTATTTTCCGTTCATAAAAGAAAAAAAAGATGCAAGAAAACGAATGTCGTGAACGTAGCCCTTTCTCTCAAAAATTTCCCTGCCTCGGTAGGGAACCGAACCACCCCTCTTCACGTCCGAACGCAATGTGTTACCACTACACCACCACTAGTCCTTGCGCTCTATGTTCAGCCTCGCAGCACATCTAATGTATATCTGCCTTTCAAGGCAAGATTCGCCTTTATTTCCTTCTTTTTTCCTTTGTGGTGGCTTTTTAGCTGACTTTTCGCGGTTCTTCCACGACAACGAATGTTAAAGCTACCGTATATCTGCTTACCATATGACGCAATTTTTATCGCATGTGAAAAGATGCACTTGAAAGATGGTGAAGTGACCGTTGGTCAGAGTGTTCAGACCGCATGTGGAAAATCTTGATTAGGTGTAATTCCTAATTTCGTCTCTCGTCTAGCAGATTTTGCAATTGCTTTGACCGGTGCTGCTTTGCTTGGTGGTTAGGCTGCTAGCGAATTTAACATTCGTTTTTCCTCTCCTGTGGATTACCAGTGCAACGATTCCTTTAACAAGAGTTTAGCTGTTTCGAGATGTTCTTGGTATGTGTTAATTATCATCAAATATTCTGGAAAATTGCCATTTCCAAGCCGTGATAATGTTCCTTATCAATTAGGAGGCTGAAACCACCAGGAATTTTTTTTAACGTTTTTTTAGTTTTTCAAATTTTTTTTTAGCCTTAGTCTCTTGAAGCAGTTTCTCAAATATCCTCTGTAATGCTTTTTTCAAATTCATGCATTTTTCAAAAATTTCTTCAGAAAACCGCTGATTATTCAACGTATTTCAAAAGCGATTTCCTGGATGAAGGCGATGCTGATGCGAAAATTTCAACACTACTGGAACTGTACCCTGAGCTCAAAGAAAATGCGGATCCAGCGCGGTAATTTTGGCCAGTTTATGTGCAAAATTTATGGATTTTTTTTTTTTGAAATAAAGAAGTAGGATTGGGTAGGAAAAGGATGGCGATTTGGAAGGAGATGGACTAATTCATAGGGCAAAATTTTGTGTGGAAAAAGAAGATTTATCTCGTTGTAAATTTTTGCATATCTGTTTCCTAGGATTCGGTGTGTGATTATTAACTTGGCTTATTCCTTGTACGAATAATGGCCGATGCTGGGAAGCAGAAGGGACTACTACATCCATTGAAAAACCACAC